TATCTATCTATCTATCTATCTATCTATCTATCTATCTATCTATCTATTCAATGATTCCTGTTATTTTCTTTTTTTATTTTATTTTTCATTCAATTATTTATACTTCCTTCCCTCTTCCCAATCGTCTCCCACTCCACCATTCCTCCTTTGCCCTCTCCCACCCTGCTTGAGAAGGGGTAGGGAATCCTGGCCTATGAGAAGTCCAAGGCCCTCCTCCCTACATCCAGGTCTAGGGAGCTGTGCATCCGTATAGACTAGAGTCCCAAAAAGCAAGAACATGCTGTAGAAACAAGTCCCAGTGCCTTTATCAATGGTTTTTCAGTCAGCCCCCATTGTCAGCCACAATCAGAGTCTGGTTTGATCACATGCTCATTCAGACCTGGTCCAGCTGGATTTGGTGAGCTACCATTAGAACAGGCACACTGCCTCAGTTGGTGGACCAACCCCTTGAAGTCGTGACTTCCATGCTCCTCTTCTCACTCTTTCTGCCTTTCAGCTGGGCCTTGGGAACTCACTCAGGCCATTGCTTTGATGAGAGTCCTTGTTTCTATCTCCATCCATTGCCGGATGAAGATTCTATGGTGATATTCAAGATAATCATCAGCGTGACAGTGAGGCAAAAACAGTTCAGGCACCCTCTCTTTTGCTGTCCAAGGACCTAGCTGGGGACATTTGCATGGAAACCTGGGATCCCCTCTAGAGCCAAGCCTCTTGCCAACCCTGCAATCTTGTTTGCTTCCAATTTCGGGAGTATTTATATATGTTTTTCTTTGGGTTCACTTTGTTATTTGGCTTCTCTGGGCTTGTGAACTACAGGCTTAATGACCATGGTTTATGGCTAAAGTTCACAAATGAGTGAGTACATACCATATTCATCTTTTTGGGTCTGGGTTATCTCATTCTGGATGGTGTTTTCTTTTTCCATCCATTTGCATGCAAAATTCAAATGCCATTGTTTGTTACTGCTGGGTAATACTCTAATGTGTATATATTACACATTTTCCTTATCCACTCTTCCATTGAGGGGCATCTAGGCTGTTTGCAGGTTCTGGCTATTACAAATAATGCTGCTATGAACACAGTTTAACAAATGTTTTTGTAGTATGATTGGGCATCTCTTGGGTATATTCTCAAGAGTGGTATTGCTGGATCCTAAGGTAGGTAGATTAGGTAGATTCCCAATTTTCTGAAAAACAGCCACACTGATTTCCAAAGTGATTGCACAAGTTTGCATTGCCACCAGCAATGGAAGTGTGTTTCCCTTACTCTACATCCTCTCCAGCAAAGGCTATTGTTGGTGTTTTTGATTTTTAGCCATTCTGACATGTGTAAGATGATATCTCAAAGTTGTTTGGATTTGCATTTCCCTGATCGCTAAGGAAGTTGAGATTGACCTTAAGTGTCTCTTGGCCATTTGAACTTCTGTTGAGAATTCTCTATTCAGTTCAGTACCCCATATTTTAAGTGGCTTAATTGGAATTTTAAAGTCTAGTTTCTTGAGTTCTTTATATATTTTGGAGATGAGACTTTTGTCTGATGCAGGGTTGGTGAAGATCTTTTCCCATTCAGTAGGATGCCATTTTGTCTTAATGACAGTGTCTTTTGGTTTACAGAAGCTTCTCAGTTTTAGTAGGTTCTATTTATTCAATGTTGCCCTTATTGTTTATGCTACTGGGGTTTTATGTAGAAAGTGGTCTCATGTTCCCATGTGTTGCAGTCTACTTCCCACTTTCTGTTCTATCATGTTAAGTGTGGTCGAATTTATATTGAGGTCTTTAATGCATTTTGACTTGAGTTTTGTGCATGGTGATAGATATGGATCTATTTTCATTCTCCTAGAGTTTGACATCCAGTTATGCCAGCACCATTTGTTAAAGATGGTTTCTTTCTTCCGTTGTATTGTTTTAGCTCCTTTGTCAAAAATCAGGTGTTCATAGGTTTGTGGGTTAATATCCGGGTCTTCTATTCAATTCCATTGGTTGACTTCTTTGTTTTTTTTTTTTTTTTTGCCAATACCAAGCTGTTTTCATTACTATAGCAGTATAATTGAATTTGAAGTCAGGAACGGTAATGCCTCCAAAAGTTCCTTTATTGTATAAGATTGTTTTGGCTATCCTGGGTTTTTTGTTTGTCCATATAAAGTTGATTATTTGTTTCTCAAGGTCTGTGAAGAATTTTGTTGGGATTTTAATGGGGATTGTGTTGAATTTATAGATTGCGTTTGGTAAAATTGTCATTTTTTTCTATGTTGATCCTACCCATCCAAGAGTATGGGAGGCCTTTCTATTTTCTGGTGTCCTCTTCAATTTCTTTCTTCAATGCCTTAAAGTTCTTGTCAAATAGATCTTTCACTTCCTCGGCTAGAATTACCCCAAGATACTTTATGCTATTTGTGGAAATTGTAAAAGGTGAAGATTCTCTGATTTCCCACTCTGCTTCTCTATCCTTTGTGTATAGGAGGGCTACTGATTTTTTTTTGTATTGATCTTGTAACCTGCCACTTTTTTGAAGTTTTTTATCAGCTGTAGGAGGTCTTTGGTAAAGGTTAGGGAGTCACTAACATCCACTATCATATCATCTGCAAATAATGAAAGTTTGACTTCTTTTTTTCTGGTTTGAATCCTCTCAATCTCTCTATGTTGTCTTATTGCAATTGGCATAACTTCAAGCACTATGTTGAAGAGATATGGTGAGAGTGGACAGCCTTTTCTTGTTCCTGAGTTTAGTGGAATGGTTTTGAGTTCCTCTCCATTTAATTTGATATTAGCTATTGGCTTTTTATATATTGCTTTTATTATATTTAGGTATGATCCTTGTACCCATAACCTCTCCAAACCGTTTATCATAAAGGGGTGTTGAATTTTGTCAAATGCTTTTTCCAAATATAATGAAATGATCATATGGTTTCTTCTTTCAGTTTATTAATATGATAGATTACATTGATAGATTTCTGTATGTTGAACAAGCCCTGCAACTCAAGGAGGAAGCCTTCTTGATCATAATGTATAATTTTCTGGATGTGTTCTTGGATTCTGTTTGCCAGAATTTTATTGAATTTTTGAATCGACGTTCATGATCACATGGTCTGTAATTCTATTTCTTGGTTGAGTCTTTTTGTGGTTTTGGAAGTAGAGTGACTGTAGCTCCATAAAATGAGTTTGGCAATGACTCTTCTGTTTCCATTAAGTGAAACACATCAAGGAGTATAGGTATTAGCTCTTCTTGGAAGTTCTGATAAAATTCTGCATTAAAGTCATCTGGTCCTGGGCTTTTTTTGTTTGGGAGGTTTTTTTATGACAGCTTCTATTTCCTCATGACTAATAGTTCTATTTAAATTGTTCACCTGGTCTTGATTTAATTTTGGTACATGGTACTTATCTAAAAACAAGTCCATTTCTTTTATATTTTCCAAATTTGTCGCATATAAGCTTTTGTAGTAAGACCTAAAGATATTCTGAATTTCCTCAGTGTCTGTTGATATGTCCCCCTTTTCATTTCTGACCTTGTTAATTTGCATGTTCTCTCTTTGCCTTTTGATTAGTTTGGATAAAGGTTTGTCAATCTTGCTGACTTTCTCAAAGAACCAGCTCTTTGTTTCATTAATTCTTCGGATTGTATTTTGTGCTTCTATTTTTGTTGATTTCAGCCCTCAGTTTGATTATTTCTAGTCTTATACTCCTCCTGGGTGAATCTGCTGCTTTTTTTCCTAGAGCTTTCATCTGTGCTGTTAAGTCTCTAATGTGAACTTTCTAAATTTTTTTTAATGTGGGCACTTAGAGCTATAAACTTTCCTCTTAGCACTGTTTTCATAGTGTCCCATAGGTTTGGGTATGTTGTATCTTTATTTCCATTGAATTCAAGGAAGACTTTAATTTTTTTCTTTATTTCTTTCCTGACCGAGTTGTGATTCAGTAGTTGACTGTTCAGCTTCCATGAGTTTGTAGGCTTTCTGGGGGTAGCATTGTTGTTGAATTCTATCTTTAATCCATGGTGATCTGACAAGACACAGGTGGTTACTAATATTTTTGTTGTATTTGTGGAAGTTTGCTTTGCTACCAAGTATGTGGTCAATTTTTGAGAAGGTTCCATGAGCTGCAAAAAAGAAGGCATATTCTTTTCTATTTGGGTGAAATGTTCTATAGATGTCTGTTAAGTCCATTTGATTCATTACCTCCATTAATTCTCTTATTTCTCTGTTAGGTTTCTGCTTATTGACCTTACCATTGGTGAGAGAGGAGTGTTGACATCTCCTTCTCTTAGTGTGTGTGTGTGGTTTGATGTGTGCCTTGAATTCTAATAATGTTTCTTTTTCATATGTGGGTGCTTTTATATTAGGGACATAGAAATTCAGGATTGAGATTTCATCCTGATGAATTGTTCCTGTTATGAGTATAAAATGTCCATCTCCATCTCTTCTGTTTGATTGTAGTTTGAAGTCAGTTTTGTTAGAAATTAGTATGGTCATACCCACTTGTTTCTTAGGTTCATTTGCTTGAAAAAACTTTTCCCAACTTTCTACTCTGAGTAGATTTCTGTGTTTGTGGGTGATGTGTGTTTCTTATAAACAGCAGAGTGTTGGATCCTGTTTTCGCATCCAATCTCTTAGCCCTTGACTTTTTATAGGTGAATTGAGTCCATTGATAATAAGTGATATTAATAACCAGTGGTTGTTAGCTCTGGTTATTATTATTATTATTATTTGGTAGAGTTTGTGTGTTTAACTTCTTTGAGTTGTGCTGGTGATGGGTTGTTAGATGTCTGAGTTATTGTGGGTATTGTTGGGTTTCTTGGGTTGTGATTTTCCTTCTATTACTTTCTGTAAGGCTGGATTGGTGACTACGTATTGTTTAAATTTGTATTTATCTTAGAATATTTTGTTTCCTCCATTGCTAGTGACCAAA